TAGTGCGTTTTGATTCGATGCTGAGTACAGCCAGGCTTCACAGTCTCTTCTCTGTCATTGTAGACTGCACATACCTCATTCCTTCCGTCTACTTGGGTCCGAATCATAGACTGTATATATAAAGGTCCGAATGTGCCGTCCCGTTCAAATGAAATCGCAGCCAATCACATTTCCTCGCTCGCACCGGGGGCGGGGTTACAAGGCTTGCGTCTTGTGCTGCATTCACTTGCACTCGGACATTAGGGATTTTCTCTCGTAAATGTCCGATGAGCCACAACTTTTATTTAAAAAACAAAGCTGCCAACTGGGGTGGCAGCTGGGGTGGCAAGGCTATTTTTAGGGGGGCAGTTTCCACCCCATGCCACCCCGGTAGATCCGCCCCTGCTTGATCGGTACTTGCTTTTGATTAAAAGTCAATGCGGAAAACCTGCACTCTCACAGGTAGGCAGAGGTGAAGGGAATGAGCACATTTACAGCCTTTTGGCGAGGTGGGGGAACTCTGTCTCCACAGACAGCCAAAAGTGTGCAAGTGACGTTTTCTGGCAGACGCTGTCTCCTCTCTCACTTTAGGTAACTTCAATAAAAATCAATCCATGTTGCCGCTCGCATAAAGTTAGCTGAAGTTAACGAGCTAGATTTCACTGTTTCTCGAAAAAGAATTGTCACGCTGCGCCTCCCCTGAAGCTCTCTGGCGCCCCCCAGGCTTTCACACTTTGAAAACCGCTGCTCTGATACATGAGCTTTCTTGTAAGTAAGGATTATAATATTTTCTACAATGAGTCCTTCTTTGTGAACCGTTAGGCCACATCCGTAGGAATATGATAAACACCGTGCTACTCACCAGCGTGTTTGAGCGTCCACGGCTCCTTTCCTCTGCAGATCCAGTAGAAGATCCCGGTGTAGACCATGCCCCCGTACAGACCAAAGTAATTGTGGAAGGACGGCCGGATGTTTCTGACTGCGTACAGCTCTTTCCACACCCACGAATTCTTCAAGTTCTCAGCGTACTCGGGTACATGGAGGCCTTGGGAGGATTCAAATAAAGAAATGACACACGCACACATTGAACGAATGTCCTCGCTGTTGTCACACAAAGCCTTGAATAATATGGCCTTAACCAGTGAAGGTTTACAAAAGAATGACTGTATTTCACCAGGGATTTCAAGCTTAGGTACATGGAGGCCTAGGGAGGATTCAAATAAAGAAATGACACACACATTGAATGAATGTCCTCGCTGTTGTCATGCTGACCTTTCCTGCACATTTGTAGCACAAAGCCTTGAATAATATGATAACCAGTGAAGGTTTACAAAAGAATGACTGTATTTCAACAGGGATTGCAAGCTTAACATTTTCCATTAGAAGGAATAATCCCTATAAAAAATATTTCACATTTAAATAAGTGGATTTTTTTTTACGGCACCTTTTTGTGGCAAAAACACTCTGCCGTTACATTTTGAGAAACATTAAATTGCATCAAACTCAATAAAACTGGAATGGTAGCAGACTTAGGGGCGGATAACTTCAAACTCTGGCGCATGAAAGCAATACTATCTGGACAGCACAAGACCACTGCAAGTAATGAAGTTATTTGGGTAAATATAACCTTAAAGATATAATTATTCATCAGTTTTTCTCTTCCTGACTATCGACCATTTGCATTTGAGTCCATTCTTATTTGTCATGAGCTAGAGAGAATGAACACAATCATGTAAAACATGACGTTAACTATTAAAAAGGATAATTGAAGTTGGGTATAATGAGAATCACAGTCAGTGATTTAGCTGCAGTAGATGGCGCTCCCAGTTTGGAAAAGCTGACATAAGCATGGGTAAAACAAATCGTTTTTAAAAGGCCACCCATAAAAATCAATATCAGTTCAAGTGAACTCTATACTTAGAATAAAGGGAACATGATCTGCTTACTAAGCTCTGTTCAAAGCAACCAGCTTTATCTTTAACAGAACACAGGAGTGCTTTGTGCCTCGATTGGTGAGTTTCTTTGTGTTCTCTGCTATTCACCTTTTGAGAGCCGACTGCAATCTACAGTAAATAATTCTCTGATTACAGATAACCTCATACGAACTATCCCTTTGAGCAAATAACTCACTCCACCAAGATGGATCATAGAGATCTTTTTATAATGATTCTTGAAGCTGTTCCCACTGGCCTTTTTACAGCCATTACAGTTCTTTTTATTAATGTAGCTGCAAGAGTGTGTCCCATGTGCAGCCTCTGTTTAGTTCTCAAGTGGCTTGGAAAACTATTAGTAAAGAAGTTATTGCCTGACCTTTTACAAATGCTGTGCTACCTGACATCCTACTACTCCTCCATCACCATCTGGTACGCCGCAGCCACAGCCAAGGAAAAGGGCAGGCTGCAGCAGGAGGGTCATCCGCTCTGCAGAGAAGGTGATCGGCTGCTATCTGCCATCCCTCCGCGACCTGCCCGCCTCCAGGACCCTGAGGCGGGCAGGGAAGATAGTGGCCGACCCCTCCCACAAACTGTTCACCCCCCTCCCCTCCGGCAGGGGGCTGCGCTCCATCAGGACCAAAACCTCTCGCCACCTGAACAGTTTCTTCCCCTCTTAAACAAGGCCCGGCCCCCCCACTGACACTTTACCTCAGCCACAACGTATTCTCTATATGCATTACATTCATGCACACAATGTTCATACTGCTTACTGCACATATTTCTTGTTTCATCATATTTGATATCCTATAATTCATTCATAGCATTCTATTTCCATGTAAATTACTGCTTTATTTTATTGCTATTTAACTATATTTTATTAAGGTGTCCTTAAAGATTTGTTGTTTTATATTTGATGTATGCACCATGACATCAAGTCAATGTCCTCGTATGTGTGAACCTCCCTGGCAATAAACCTGTTTCTGATCCGGCCTGATATGACCCAGCGGTGTTGCAGTGTGTACGGTTATGTAACTTCAGAGAGCCTGTATAGACCGTTTCTGGGTCTTAACTCACTTTAACCTCGGTACCTGAAATGAGATGCACACAGGTACTGCTGCTACCATCATGATTATTAATGGGGTTCACATTTTGTACCTAACGTCTCTGACTCCGGGTTCTCTGCTGTGATTTTAGGGAAAATGGCCTCAGCAGCCAGCATGCCGCTCTTCATGGCCGTGTGGGTGCCTTTGATCTTCGGGACATTCATGAAGCCGGGGCTGCAGCCCATCAGCAAACCTCCTGGGAAGGTCAGCTTTGGGATGGACTGGAGAGAGGAAGAGGAGAGAGTTCATGTCATTTTTCACTTTTTACACAAATGTATTTATTGGTTTTTACAATTTTTACAACACAATAACGACGTAGCATATACATGACAAATACATCATTACAAAGCAAAGCGAACAAAAAGACAAAAACATGACAAAAAACAAAAACAGCTGAGTCTCAAATATACATTACATGTCACTTGTTAGACGCTTTCATCCAAAGCGACTTACATACTCGATACTGTGGGCAATCCCCCCAGGAGCAATTTGGGGTGAAGTGTCTCAGGGACACAACGACATGCTGACTGCAGTGGGGTTTGAACCTGCTCCCCTGAACCGAACACCAACGCACTAACCCACTGCGCCACACACCTCCCTTACGTCCATAGGTGGTTACAGGAGTATCACATGTATGATTGATGATGAATTTATGATTACAGGAGATTCATGAGGTTCCTTTAACAATAACAGCCGACAATTCAGGTCCAAGGAAATGTAAGCCAGGCTGCCAGATTGGATAGAACTGGTCAGATTTGGTATGTAAAACATTTGAGAGATATTCCAGGGGGACCAACTCATAATGTTGAGCCAGCCTTTGAGAGATGGGACCTGATCCTTAGTTTTAATGGAGTACTTTCATTTGTATTGCACAGGTGAAAAAAAAAATTATTTCTAGAGGCCATATTCCACGGTCTGCCTCCTTAATTCTGAAGTACTAAAACCACCGGTAGTAACCTTCAGTCTCACGAACGTTACATCTTCAGTGAACGTCCTTTTGAAACCTCATGCACGCTCCTCCTGGTGTGAGCCAGTCACGTTGAAGTGGATTATTTTTGAAAGAAGCAATATTTTACGAAGATGAAGGATGTTTTGACACTGAATGAAAGGTTCTTGTTACTTAAATCATCTTAAAATGGCTTATCTATCATTTGATGTAAATTGTTTCACGTCTGTTGTTTCTTTTTGACACTTTTTATGCTGTTAATTATGAAATAATCTTGGAAAAGCTAAAGTAAATATTTTTTATATATTGATTGTAACAACAAATGTCAAGGCACACTCTTTTTTTACGATAACCTTTTGTGACATTTTAACATTATCCAATTTAACTTTCCAAAATCCTAAGAATGCTCGATGTGAAAGTATTTAATAGCAACAATATGTCCGCACATTTACTAGAATGCATCAGCCACAAAGCAAGTATCACATGTGAACTAAAAAAGGCACTTCATATACGTAAACATATTCAATTAAAAAACAATATCTTAAGAAAACAGAAGATAATTTCTTATATTAATTTCTGACAAAAGATTGATGAATTGTTTTTCAATGCAGTCATCCATTTTTCAGAAGAGTGATTTCAGAACGTGAGCTGCATTGTGAACGTTTTGCACGCCGGTTTCCATCAACTCAGAAATGTATTGAAAATCACCTGAAGTAGATTTCACAAACCTTATTTTCTCAGTCAGTTTGTTCAAGTTTCATCTTTAAATCCTTTCTATAAACAAACTATTACAACTAGTAATACCCTTTTCTCATGTTTTTTTTTTAAATATATAGTTTCTCCACACACACCTGTATGTAAAGTGTGGCTCTGTCAAACTGTATTTCAGCCGGTTGGTGTGTTTAAGTGTATCAACCTTTAATCTAATCTTCTTTTTTTGTATAATTGTATTTGTTCAACAGGATGAGTGAGGGTATAATCACATTGCATTCCAGATTTCATGACACCAAGAAATTAATTGGCAACACAATTTGACTTAAATGAGATAGTACCAATTAATACTTCATCCCAACTCATCAAACAAACAAACAAACACTGACCAGAGCTTCTTCATGGTTGCTGTTTTTTTATTTCGCTGTACGTAAAGTTTATATTATTGTCTGGGTGTTTCTCAATGTCGAGGACGCTTCCTTGGTAGGACATGTCTTCCGAGTCACTTGCTTCAGAAGCGAGGCAAGAATCCTTCTTAGCCTCGGAAAACGAAGAATGGTGGAACAGGCTAACAGGTGTGCGTCATATGCGAGGCCCCGCCTTAAATGGAGCGCGAGTTCCGCAAAAAGAAAATTGGAAATTGGTCCGTGCGCAAAGCATTGTGGGGATTTTAAGAGCGCGGAGGATCCACATGTGCAGCCTCGAAATTTCTCGCTACGAAGGACGCCGGGCTCGGTAGAATTCCAAGTATGCTGGACATTGGAACAGTCCTTCGGCGGGACTCGATGACGTAGCATCCTTGAAGTAGTGGCTCTGGAGCATCCTTCCTTGACATTGAGAAACACCCCCTGTGTCTTATGTGATTCAAGGTCACAGTGGAAGTAAGGTAGTTTTAGGTAGTCCAGACTTCCTTCTCCACGTCATGCATCTCCTGCTGGAGGACCCTGAGGAGTCCCAGGACAGTAAATCCCTAAAGCCTGTTTGGGGTCAGCTGCGGGGTCTCCTCCCTGTTGGACTCCACTGGAAGGAATCCAGCAGCAGCACCTCAGCTGACCTTCAATGTGACTGATCAGCTGCTGTGCTTACTTCTAATATTATTCACAAAAATCATATTCCTATTACCATTTTTTACAATAAATCTAAATTATTAGATGAAGAATGAAACTACTCAAAAACAGATGTGTACTAAAATAACACCACGTTTTTCCTATATCCAACATTCTAATAAGGACACTTCTAAATGTATTCCTTGTCTATACTACTTGGGTCGGATTTCTTTGTATAACCATATTTGTAATCTAATCTTTAATCTTGCGCAGTAATAATGCATATCTTAGTGATCAGAGTGTGTTATCGGTCCTTTTCTAAAAAACGTTTCGTTATTAAAATAGAGTAAAAACAAAAGAAGGCAGATTGATGAAACACCAGATTCCAACACAGATTGAATAAAATGACTTACAAGGCTTTAATGTTTACATTTAGGAACCAATTTATGTTGTAATCATGCTGTAAAAACGACAATTTGTTTGCAGAGTAAATTAGATTGTAAATGAAGAATCAGCTAATGGTTTTAATTAAATATGAAAGTAGGAATGCATTTAATCAATCCGTAAATAGAAGTGTTTAATTGAGTCATGCAGAACAGTCTTCCATCCGTTACAGTTTGTTTAACTGACAGTGTTTATTTTGGCAGCTATTTTATGTTTAGTTGGAAATCCCATTCAGTGTTAGTCACATTCTAAGTCCACATATAGTTTTTCTGGCAAACTGGCCAGGCGCAGGGGAGCACTTCATCTCAGTGTTTTCGATCTTTCATAAAAACAACATATTGACAACATATCAAGGCTTCGTTGTTCCCTGATGTATAATAGACTAACATCCCCCCTTTGCTTTTTATGATCTATTTCCGGCTCCTATCCATTTGTCTGACATCCTTTTTTCCGGCATGAGCACCGACTGGAGGATACTTGCTCTCACACTGTCAGAAGGAGCCTGTCAGCACTCAATCTGTCAGCATTAGGGCGAGGAGGAGGGCCATCAGCAGGAGAGCAGTTTGCTACTTGAAGCAATATTGCATCAATACACAGAGAGGCTAAGTTCTGACTATTATATTAATAATTAATATTGGAAATACATGTACTTTTTCGGTAAGAATAGCTTTTATAGTCCACTAGACGGTGCCGAGATTTTTTTTGATGAGATCATCATTATTGGCAGGAAGTTGGTCAAAACAAAAAGAACATCATCTCATTGGATTAAAAAGATGTTGAAAAGCTTCACATTTTGAAAAAAAGTTAATAAGTTGCAGTATATGTTTTCCCAATACTCAGCATATGACAAACAGTTTAGTCTAGCAATAATATCTCATTGTTACTTAAAGGTCCCCTATTATACTGTTTTTCCTCAATATATTATAGCTCTCAGACATAAACAGAACATGTCTCTGAAGTGATTACCCATAATCCCCTCTGTTTCAGCCCTGTTTCCAAAGTGCTGATTCTCTGTCTGTTACTTTAGATGAAAATAAGGAGCCCCTCCCCACGCCCCTCTGAGAG